TGATTTCAGGTATAATCACTGTCAATCTGATTATAAAGCAGCTCTTGGTCACATAACTAAGTTAAATAAGCTTGAATCAAAATTCAAATGCCACTCAAACAAACGAAAACCAACTAAAGTAAATGGTGTTGATTGTTTACCTTCGCTACGAGAACTTCACTCAGCCGCATATACAACGCATCCCTCTTACTCTTCAATAATTTTAAATTAGTACTGTACTCATTCAATCTGCACATCATTACACAAATACTTTGATTCTAGTATGATCATGAGCTCTACTATAAAACTGAATAATATATTATAAAGCATATAACTCCAATTCTTATAAACTTCAGTCAAGCTATAAAAATCGAAAATACTGGAAAATTTGGTTTCTTTTTCGGGGAAAATTTACCTGTAATTAACGCAAATAGGGCAAATAGAAGCAAGATTGTAGTTTTCACATATAGCACAGCTACTAGTTTTTCTCGATGTCATCATCATCTGGGCATTCATTGATCAAATTTGTATTCCAGGTTTCCGACAATCAATTACCGATTGATAATATTCGAAATATAAAAGAATAGACTTTTTAGAAAAAAAAAAAAAAATTAGAGAATCAGAGCTCATATTACATAATTCATAGTATACGAATTTGCCTAATTATACGGAAATTTATCCATAGAGTCCCCAAAATTTGTTAAAATCAAGAGTGGCCCATAAAGTTTGGTTAAAAGAAGAGAGGTCCTTTAAGTTTTACGAATGGCATTTTGACCCAACTTTTTGATTATTTATGTCAAGATGATTGAGGGTGTATAAGGTTTTAGCACCGGCCACAATGTTTTTCATTAAAGGGCAACTCCCACATAATTTACAAAAATGGCATACTTATTTTAGAAGGCATATAAGCCTATATTTACAAGATCGCAACATGTCATTAGCTATGTGTTAGAGTTGCATTACTTTTTTTAGCTCCCGTTTGGCTCTACTAAAATGTTAGATCAAAATTAAGTCAAAATCAACAATTAATTTTAACCACACATTTTATAAGACCCGTTACTTTTAATAAACAATCAACTAACTTTTATCAAAATTTACTTAATATCTTATTTGTATCAATACCAAATAGGGACTTTGGTCCAAGGAATAATCTTACTGAACTTCGAGTGTTATCAACTTTGAAGGTTGAGTTTAAACGTCCATGTACAATGATTTGAATCCACTTTTATTAAGCTATTCTTTAGTCTAACTTTAAGTGCAATTGTATTAAATTACGAACTAAAATTTGAGTACAACAATAATGGTAATATTTACAATGAATAATAGACTAAAACAAAAGTGTAAATGTTAATTTGCATATAAAAATAAATTTATTTGTAAGTCAACACAGTTGTCGTGCTCATAACTACCGATAAAGTAGATAAAATTAAAGATGATGTTCCAAGTATGTCATTAATTTAATGACATAATTGGATAAAACTACTCATCAGCAAAATTAGATTAAAAATGGTATTTTGCTTCACCGATTTATATACTCAATAATGTAGATATATTACAACACGATAGTTCGAGAATGAGTAGTGAACTATTTACAAAGAATAGGTGTAAGGACGAAACGATAAATTCTCTAATACCGATTATTGTTGTGTCATAATTAGGAATTTGATGTCCAAACTTGAAACTCTCAAAACTTTATTATTGTAGAAGAGTTTTAACTATGATAACTTTGGGGGCTCCTTTTAGTAAATTGGTAGTTACACTCCTGGGTATAATGCTTTAACTGCAATATCTGTTCAAAAACAAGTCCTTTATTGCATACACAAACTCATCCACACCAAGAAATTAATCGAGAATTAACTATCTCTCCTTCACTCAGCATAAAGGGCAAGTTACCAAATAATCTTATATAGCATTGTCTCCATTTGTATTCGTGATTTGCGTTGAATATTTTTCAAGATTATTGAAGAGAGCTACTAGAAATAGTGAGTGCAATTATTACCATAAGTGTGGACTCTTGAATAGCACGCATTTGGCTTTTGCGGATGATTTGATGCTATTTGCTAGAGGTGATGTTATTTCGGTGTGCATATTGATGAATTGTTTGTCTAAGTTCAGTTATTGTTCAGCATTGAAAGTGAACGTGAACAAGTCCATCCTTTACACTGTGAGTATTCAAGGGACATATTTGGATGATATACTTGATGTTGTGGGCATGCCTAAGGAAACTATACCGTTTAAATATTTGGGGATCCCACTGGCGGCAAAGAAATTGAAAGTTAATTAGTATGCCCCTTTCTTGGATAAAATTTCAGCATATATTAATGCGTGGACACGCATCTCATTGTCTTACGTTGGGAAGGCCGAATTGGTGAGGCGGTCTTACAAGGGGTTGAATGTTTTTGGTTATCCATCTTTTCAATTCCGGCCGCGGTTACGTCAATAATATACGGCTTTGTAGGAATTTTCTTTGGAATTTCAATTAGTGGCTTGGGTAGATGTGTGCTTGCCAAAATGCGAACGACGGTTGGGATTTCGAGACATAAAGTATTGGAATAATGCGTTGCTTGCGAAATCCCTTTGGAACATTCAAGAAAAGAAAGATACACTTTGGGCCTGTTGGGTCAATCATGGGTACTTAAGAGGTGAATAGGTTTTGGAGTGGACACCTAGAAAGGGCAACTCCCCATTACTTAAGAAGTTGTCCATCCGGGACTTGATCACACACATAGAGAAGGCAGAGTGCAGGCTGCCGTTCAGCAAATGTTGCGTTGGAATATTGGGGGCAGTCTACTTATTCCCCAGTCATATGACTACTTCAGGCAGAAAGGCATGTTTAAAGTTTGGGCAGCGAAGGTTTGAAAGTTGAGAATTACGAGTTTGACCCAACTAACATTTAGAGGGGGTGAATATTTGCTCGTATGTGGAATTTAAATTTATTAATTAGTAATAGCAATAAGTTACAATTATTAATTTTATCAAAATGAATTGACAAGCAATACTATCATAAGTTGAATTACTGCAGTTAATATATTGCATAAAAATAAACAACGCCACGAAATTGTTGATGGAGAAAATCCCTCATGGTATAAAAGCTCCGAGCCCAAGCTAGTTGTATCTAGGGTTGGGCAAAATATCCGAAACGAATCGAACCGAACCAAACCAAACCGAGCGGGTTTTTTAAAATGAAATACCCGAACGGGTATCCGAATCGAGAGTCGAATGATTTGGTTTCTATTCTTGGTTCTAGAACCCAGAACCGAAGAATCGAATAAGAACCGATTTTTTTTTTTATATTGAATAAATCAATTCTTTTATTTTTTCTAAACAAATTAATAATTTTTTTCTTATTAAATCTTATTAGTTGAACAATTTAGAGTTTATTTATGTTTGTTAGTTGTGTTTTTTCAATTTTTTCTTGTATAGTTTCTTAGTAATTAGTATGAAAAGTCAAGCAACTGATGATTACATTAAATAGTTGGTAAGTATTATCAATACTTTAAAATATTTTATCTTTATGACTTCTAATTTATATTTCATTTTTATGTAGACTTGAAAGTTTGAAGCAAATGAATTATTTATATGAATTATCGAAATTTTATTATTAATATTTATTTTTTGGTATTTATATTTGACAACTTATTATTGATATGTTATTAAATTAGATTACGTTAATTTGTAAAAGTTAAGATTCAACTTGATATTGGTATCTACTTTTTGTTATTAATATTAGTATCTACTTTCAGGTGTATTTATGTAGCATTATTTTAAATGTTAAAAAATTTAATTATAGTACGGAACCGTACAGAACCGAACCGAACCGAAACCGAACGGTTCCATTTACTAAATACCCGAAAACTTCTGGAACCGAAAAAAACCGAACCGAACCGACTCGCGCCCACCCCTAGTTGTATCAATTATAAACGATAAAGACTTATAGACTCTTATGACTAACTAAACCTTAGTACTTTTTGACCTCTTGACTGTAATCACCACGGAAGTTTGGAAGTTGAGAGTTACGAGTTTGATCCAACTAACACTTAAAGGGGTATAAATAGATGCTTGTATGCGGAATTTAAATTTATTATTTAATAACAACATCAAGTTATAATTATTAATTTTATCCAGATGAATTCACATGCAATACTATCCTAAGTTGAATTATTGCAGTTGATATATTGTATAAAAATAAATAACGCCACGAAATTGTTGACGGAGAAAACCCCTCGTGAGATAAAAACTTCGGGCATAGGCCAGTAATATCCACTATAAACAATAAAGGCTTACAAATTGTTCTGACTGACTAAACATTAGTACTTTCTGGCCTCTTGACTCTAATCACTACGACCCTCCTGAATTGCGTGCTCCTGCATCAACTCCCGACCTTCTAGAAACGTTTCTCTTGTGGATCAAATGAGAATTCTTGTTCTCCTTCAACTGGAACTCCGGTCACCTTCCTCAATCTTCATAACTCTGACATATTATGGGAAAGTTGGGTTGTGGTGTTTTGATTATATGGATTTGATGTTTTCAATGATTTTGGTTGAATCAATATATATTGAATAATATGTAGGATGTGATGAAAGCAATCTCTCTGATAAAATAATATTCAACCAATCTTTTCACAAAGTTGGGCTTGAGTATATAGTATTTATGTTTTGGAGTATTACAGGATAGATAGGTCTCTCAAAAAACGCAAACAAGGGTTTTATGGTTAGCACAGTCGCTCGAGCGATAATCCAATGACAGGTGCTCCGCTTGAGCGACAGACTAGCGACAGTGTTTCTATTTTGAATGCTCGAGCAACGACTTAGCGATCGGCCAGTAGAAATTCGAACACGTAACTCTCGCTCATAAGATTCCTCATCCTAGACTCTCTTTGAACTACGAAGTGTCATATTTTCCCAATATGTAGCCTATTCTACCATTATACCATACATTAAAGTCTGCATACAACGTAGAACAGCTAAATTGTCTTTGCTGCATAACCACATATCAATTGAGCATTTTGCAAGATCAGGCCGTTATGTTGCAAACATTTCAGGGCTGAGCTTCAAAATTGCAAAAGAAGGCCAAGTATCCACTTTGTCATCACCATAATTTATTGCATTACGTTCACTTGGAGGGGCTCTGGAGACGAGATGCTAAGCCAGATAATCAGAGTAAGATTCTAAATAGAATATCGTGCTTACATAAAATTATCTTGAATCAATTTTCTCAAGTCTTCCAGTTTCTGGATTATATTTGGATTCATCAAATCCCTTGCTTCTCTTATAAGAGTGCCCTCTCTACTGAATTGATATGCATCAACCACAGTCGTAATCCAGGTGTGCAGCTTTTCCGGTGTCCTGTAACAGTTATAAGTATTGAAGTTATAGAGAAGGATTAATTCGTAAATAAAGCAAATCCTTTGAAATTTGCTCAAACAAGTAATCCTTACACGAGCCCCCACACCACTAGATTTACTGCCCGATAAGCATATAGAAAACTGCTGCATACTCATATTTTATCTTCTACATATGCTGAATTAACAGATATTCTTTCTTTTTCTTCCAATTTTTCTTTTATTTTTTTATTTTAAAAAGGTGCATTTCAAAAGCACAATTAATCCAACAAAACATGTTTGTTTCCAAATAGATGATTAATAAATGCACTTATGAATTTTCCATGCCACGTTATATTACCGTTGGGCGGGTTAGCATTTCGTTAACTCAGCAGACTGAATGCCTAAACTACAACAAAAGAAAAATTCAACACTAATTTAGACTAAAAGAAGGCAGGGACCAAAATGAAACAACGTTTAAATTGGGTGATTAACAGTAGACCCATAAATTGAGCACATGGATTAAGTTCAAGATGCATACGTGAAGAGACAGTCTATATCCTTTCCTTCGAGTTCCTCTCCTGGGGTAAAAGCATCCTTCAAAGCACCTAAGCGCTCCTCAGGGTCTTCGATTGTAAGAAGGTACTTGAGTATCCTGATTTCTTTTGGCATAAGCCTCTGGAGATTACCTCTTGCCGTCGTATATAAATGATACAACACATCTTTCACCTGATAAAAGAAGAAAATGTGTTATGCGTAACACAATATCTGCAGGAGAATGAGAATATGCATGTCCTTTGGAAGTTTTTGCAAATGATAGTCCTTTAAAATCCATACAGCAATGAGTTTTTTATCCAAAATTTTCCCTCGACACTATAAAATTTTTCTCTAAGAACTTTAATATGTTAAATTGAAAAAGAAGCATGAAATAAGGAGATCAATAAACTTACCTCGTCTTTCATCATGTTTGACTCTTTAGCAGCTGACCAAGCTTTCGTAATCATCAGAACCAAAGCTGAATCAAGTTCATTTTTCTCAGCCAAATTATCTATCTTCCGGCAAGCAGCATCTAAAGATGGAGAATTGATTATATCTTGAAATTTCAACTCCGCAGCATTGACTGCATCTATACTTTCAGTTGCAGTATCATAAGCTTGTACAGAAGCTAAGCACATATTACCAAGCTTTGCCACAGCTAGTCATCCAGAAAGTAAGAAATTATATTGGCACAACTCATCAGAAATGCAAACATAAGCAAAAAATCAAAATTATGTGTCCCATCACTTGTCAGCTTTCACTATTTTCAGGAGTAATCAAAATGCTGAAATGCAGAGAAAGTTATGAGACGCGATGAAAGTTAAAATTATAATGGCCAGAGACAGAAATTTACTACAGATTCTAGACTCCCCGAGCTTCCATTCAAAGCTCTCCCAGAAATTATGGACAAGAGGGGGAGTGTATGCCCACAGTTGGAAGCGTATTTGGAAGAACAGGAGCACAATAAATAAACCAAGCCTCAGATCTATATGCAAAGAGATCCAAAAATAATAATTATACGTATAAGAAAAATAAAGGGAAGTCATGCTGTCAAATGGATATTTTCCTCAAATGACAAAAGTCTCTCTTGTCCCTCTCTTGTCCCCACTATAGAAGAAGGAGATCATACAACAAGAGCGGATAATGATCAATGCATCATCAAAATATTGTCTGAACAGAATAAGCAGGGTTGGGACACAGATGGTTTAACATAAGTCGCACAATTTCTTCTTCTGTATTAGCCATTGGAATATTGACCATCAAAGGGGATTGTGCAAATGACAACACCTATGAAGAAATGAAACATTCAGCAGGTCTTTAATTATCTTTGTTTTCAAAATCTAGGTAAAGAAAATAATTTCAAGAATAAATAAATCTAAGACAATAATTTATAGAGTTTTCAGTACATTTAATTATGCCACAATTCTATTGCACCTTCTGGTAACAAGTATTGCATCGTGTTGTTAATATAGATATGTAACCATACTATAATGGATAAAATAAGAAATAAGCGAACATACTCCAACGAGTGAGTATGGAAAATAAAGGAACGATGTCTTAAATAGTTGAGGCATGCCTTGCAGAAACATAAAGAAGCACCTCTGGGAATAGTTATGCAATCTCATAAGAAATTTCTAGAAGGAGAGATGTATAAAATTAGCAACTGATGGTGGTTGGATTCATTTGACTTTGACTGATTCAAAAGAAATAATTCCAGAATATAAAATGGTAAAGAAAGATTCATGTAGATGACTCAATTGTTGATAAGATTTACAAATTCTGAGCCTTTTACCAAGAGAATGAAGAATCGTCAAGTGAAAAGGACAAAGACAAAAATCAGATCCTTATTTTTCTTATCATAATTCACTCTCTATGATTCTGGCAAGCAACCTTGATAACATTACCAAAAAACTAATAAATCCGTCCTTGATGCAAGCCACTAGTCAGTTCTATACCCACAACCTGGTGAACATGAAAGCATACTGGGCCAATAGAATTATAAAAAAAGGCTGCATAGTCTCACCATTTTGTTCTGTTGGATTATCATAGTAAGATTCTGCCACAGTCTGGAGATGAACAAAAAATTCTTTTGTGAAGTGTTTACGACGCCTAGCAACAATTTCACCAACCTCGGAGGGAGACTTCTTGACCACATCAAGAAGCTCATTATGCCTTCGAACATCATCATCAATCTAACAAGAAAACCTTCAAGTTAACTCCCATGTAAGGACCTCAATGCTTAGCTATGAACTATACGTCATGCAAAAAGGTTACAACTTGTTATCCGAACGTGAACAGAAAAATGATGGAATGCATTTGATGCTCATAAATCCACTTAAAGTCCAAACAATCTTATATGCATTGAACCTTCACGAAAAGTCCTTTCTCTTTGCAAAGAAAGAAGCAATCAAATTGGTCAAGAAAATTAGTAAAACAAGAAGGATGATTCAAGATTAGTCCTTCTTTTTCTTAACACAAGGATAAATCCACAAAGCAAGATCTGATGACACTGCCACAAGAATAGATATTTTAGGGTTAATAGAATAATAAATCAAAAATCTCTAACATATAGTTTGAAATTTTGATAAGTGATCGGATATTCATCAAGTAGATTCTATCTTTCAGAATCTGTCATTCTATTTTAAGTTTATTAAAAAAAAAAAAAGGGAACATTTAAAAGTTATAGTTCTAGATCAACTAACTTTAGGCCCAAGAAAAAAGTGACACCTCTTTAAGCTTTCTTGCAAGCCGGAGTAGCTTGTGCTTCATTCCCGGATCACTTTCATTAACCACTTGGTCCTGACACCGCTTATAGAAGTGGGGTCGGATATTGCTCCACTCTTTGCTAAAGGTCAGTAACCTTCTCCAGTCAGAGGGAGTGGGCTTGTCAATCAAAAAGACGTTGATTAGTTTATCACAAATGCGGATCATTTTACTGTCACTGAATCTATCATCTATAACATCCTTATCCGCTTTATCTTCCTCATTTGATGTTGAAGGTCCATAGTCATCTGTGAGATTGGGGTGTACACCAACTGTTATATGCTCTTTAGCAGAATCATTCGTTATTGCAGTTGTGTTACCAACATTAGCTCCAATAGAAGAACATTGAAACCTAACTGTATCATATGAAAATAGAAATTCTGAATTAAAAAGGAGTAATTGTAGACTTCTGCTTTAAAAAAAAAATTTTTTTTTCCTCAAAAACAAAAAAAGTAAAAATAAAAATGATACAGTAGTTCATAGATGAAAGCCATTAAAACCATCCATTCAAAATTACTGAGCATGAACAAACAAGTTCATCTGTAGTGGAGTAAAATCAGCACCAAGGTTAAATTACATTAGAAGATAAAATAAGAAAATGAAGGACTAAACCAACGGTCCTTACATAATAAAACCTTTGAACAAACAAAATGCTAAGAATGCTCTTTAATCATCCACAAGACCCAAACATAATTTAAGCATGGCATATTACATGAGAGTTTCTCTCAAGTTTGTGAAAATTCAGTCATCCAATGAGAGGATGGTCTCAATCAATGGTACCTTCCTCAATGTATTTCCCATGTGTTCTTCTCACAATTAAGATGCATTCGGAACATGAAATTGTATTCTTTGTCCAAATTACATCTAATAAATATTCTCTCTCTCTTTTCCCACTATAGCACCTCTTAGCAAGAATCTAAGTTTAGCAAGATAGCTGGCTGCCAGGAAGACTGAGCTTAGGTGCATAGCACTTAAATAAGTGGTTGAAGAGAAGCTTTCCCGGGAGTTTCTTTAGAAGGATTGGACAACTACCTGACGAGAGGTGTTTCACTCCTGCCCGATCTTCTTCTGGCTCCATTATGTTTTCATCTCCAAGATCCCAGTTTCACTCTCCTAAGCTCAGCTAAGTCTTCCTTCTATTCCAACTTGAAAAAACTTATTTTTATTTCAAATACAATAAACNCTTCTATTCCAACTTGAACAAACTTATTTTTATTTCAAATACAATAAACATGCTGTTGAATATAGATGTTAGGTGTCTCAATTTGAGACTAAATATTGTAATTAGAGGAATCGCATTCAAATTTAAATTGATTGTAGACAAATTTCAATTCAGACCCCAATTTTATGCCCTTAAATACTGTGCAAGTGTTCCTATTAATCCTTAGCTCAACAATGAGCCCTTACAATAAAGTTTAAGGAAAAAAAAAATCATAACACTCACCATAATACTCAAATAATATATATAAAAAACAAGTAGTCAGAACCCAACTATAAAGATTAGGGTTGCATCATAAAAGGTCCTCGTTAAAAGGGAGTAGCCCAAACCTTATAAGCTGGTTTGGAATTTCATCACTTAACATGCATCGGATCAAATTGCTAGTTTAATGGTTCTAATAGCATATAAAAACTTGAGATCCCATCTTAAAAAGCTCGTTTGAGTTTGATGGACTCTTGTACCATATAAAGACTCGAGGTTTCGTCTTAAAAATTCAATAAGAGGGATAGTCCAAACCTTGTAATTTGTATTTGTTTTCATCTTTATTGAACGTGAAATTTTATCCCTTAACACCAACCTCAGAAATAAAAATGGACGTTCTACAAGGTCATTAAAACAAGGTCCCAAAAATATTTGCTAACAACCAAATTACGCAGTTTTCAGATAACTCAGAAGTACGGTAACGACATGGTGAGCACGCAATAGCGAGAAATGAAATAATTGAAATGCTACCTGTAGATTTAGAAGAAAAATACGGCAAATTTCTTCGAATTGAAGGCCTGAAAAGAGAGAAAGTTGGAGAGAAATTTCGGGAAGTTCGAGGCGGCGGTCGAACGGAAAAGGCATTGTATGAGTTGAGTGAAGCAGAAGCCAACTCCATCGAAATCAAAATTGACAACAACAAATTTCTGAGAGCAAAATTGTTCGTCAGTGAAGAATCCTGCTAATCAGAAGCTGGGAACTGAGATTTTTGTGTCTTCTTCAATTGGCCATTTCATTTCCCCATCTTAAACCATTTTTGGGTATTGTGAACAATTTAAAACGAGTTAATTTAATGAATGCTCACCCATCTTTCATATATATTACTCTTTGCTCACTAAACAATAAAATATTACCCGTTGCTCACCCGTCTATCTAATATATTACCCGTTCATCACCCGTCTTAAATCAGTCAAATGTAAC